TGATTTTTTTTTAATTCCAATAAATTAATAAATAGAATTAGTTTTGAAAAATGTCAGGATAACTAATACTTTCTATCAATGGTATGAAGAATATTTGACTACAAGTTTCTTTTTGACCTAAATTATGACGAAACACAAATAGAACCGGTTGTCTTAAAGTGAGGCCTTATCACAAGGATGCTTTTGTGTAAAATTGAAAACTATTAAATTAATTAATTATTTTACATATGCAATTGAATAACCAACTTCTGAAAAGCGTACGTAGATCATTTTTTATAATTTTTTTGTAGGTGAAAGTATCGGTTCTTTCTGACACTTCTGATGGTGAATCATCTTAACGCATTTCTATTTTATTTTTTTCTTTGGAGCTCAGAGACTGAGGCAGTGGACCGTTATCCGAGTCGCTCCAGTGATCCTGAGCCTGGCTAAACAAACAAAGAAAAAAAAAATCGAGGCAACTCTGAATATACATAAAAAGCTGCAGAAAATATATTTAATTTATAATTATGTGAGTAAAAGGTGGCATACACTTCTATTTACTTTGTGTTCTTTTGCTCTAGCAGTGTTGCTTCCTGTGGTCTGACGGTGAGCGTGGGGGCGTGGTTTTGCAGGTTCGAGGCCGTGTGAGGAGGTGATGAAAAAGGGGATCACGTGGCCTCAGCTGTTCTTAGCCATGCTGACATGGACATGTGCACTTTCTACACATATGAATTGTGCCATCTTCTGCTGGACTGCTGTTTGAGGGCCAAAACCGATTGAACAATTATTAAAGCTTCTACAGAGGTCAGTAGGGTTGGATTGCTTCATCCTGTTGTCACGTGAGGGTGGAGTGCAGCTTACAGGATCTTGCATTAGATGTTTGACTGTGACCTCTGAGGAAACACCTGGCTAGAGAATGAGATCAAGGCGTGACTTCTGAAGGTCTCCTATGGCAGAAACTATCAAAGGCTTCTGCCCGACTTGAGACAGAGGTTTGAAAACAATGACTCATCTGCTGAATCGCTCCATCTCTCCCCCACGCTCTGTCAAAAGGGGCCACATACTTTGTCCAGATTTGTCTGAAAAGCGGAAATGGATGCTGCCCTGGACAGCTTCTGATGGGACAAATGGAACATCACATGTAAAGTCGGGCTGAGACTCAGAGGCGGTCCTGTTCATCTGTTGCCATGGTTGGTCCTGGATTCTTTGCCTCTGGTCGTGTGGCCTGGGCCCCGGGGCCCCTGGGGTTTCCCTCGGCCTACAGGTTGGAGACAAATGGCTGCAAACAAAACTTGGTCGTTTTTAATGGTTTTTCTTGAATTATCGAATTGTGTGATGCCACTGTTTCTCACCTTAGTTTATTTACAGCACATTCACAGTCTACTGCCTTTGCATTCTGACCTCTGCTATTTGACCCCCGGGTTTTTAAAAACCCATCTAAAATCCATCCCCTTCTATCATTAGTTTAACGGTACAAGTGAAGGATTGATGCAAGAGGGGTGTTAGGACTCTGCAGTTTACAGAAATGTTTTGTTTGCCTGAATGATTATCACTCTGTTTGTCCCACATCTGGCTAATGTGTTTTTCTCCTCCAGCATGATAGGAATCAAAAAAGGATAAAAGTACAGTAATAATTGTTAATTAACTGATTTACACAAGCACAACCGACCACGCTTCAAATACAAAGGAGGATAGTCTAAATTCTGTTTGGCTCAAAGTACAGTGGCTATAAATGTAAGGACTACTATTTCAAGTAATGATTTAGGTTGATTTGGACTCCATTTTCAATCTTAGAAAAATTTATTCTACGGAACATTACTGAACCAAATTGTGGGTTTACTGCAAATATTTTCAATCAACTATTCAATTCTTTCACTGAGGTGTGCAGATTGTACCAACATCTGTAAACACCCTGTTTTAATTACATCCAACTGCTATAGTTAGCAATGAGTCAATTTGGTCTAAATGATTTGCTTAGGTTTCTTAGGAGTTTCTGTAACAGTGTCTTGTTACAGAAACATGGGGAGATGCATGGAATTAATCTATTCAAGCAAATTGTGAGTTAATCTATTGAGAAATTTTTCATTTTGGGCTTGAGAAAAATGTTTAGTTGTGGTTTTCAGCAAAATATAAAAAGAGGTTAAATCAAAATTCAATAAATGTTTTAAGGTGTATTAGCACCCATTAAACATGAGCGAACTATTATGAGTTTCTAAAGTAATACTGAACATTCTGAATTGAATACATAAAAATTAATGATATCACGTCAAATAGATTTTACAAAATAATGTTTCTTAAAACATGGAAGGGATCGTTTGATTGCTGGATCTCTCTTGCTATAATTCGAAATAATAGGTGGTTTAACCAAGTCATGCAGAAAGGTCTAACCTGAACATTTATATCATTTAATAAATTTAGTTGTATCAAATTTCTCCCCAAAACTGCCAAAAATGTATGGATAAATAGGATAAACCCTACAAAAGAATGTAATTCAGTTAAACAAATATTTATAGATGGGGTTTCAAAAGAACCAATTTTTCAAAGATTAAAATTGTTGACATTTTGGGATTTAGAATCATAATTAGAATAAAATAAGTCAGTTAAATATGTAGTGACAGGGTTAACTTTATTCTTGTAAAACAGGCTATGAGGATCTAAAATGACAAGAAAATATGATGATTCACATTAATTTGGTCTAAACTGGGAATTTACAAATTAGCATTTATGAAACTGCTTAAAGAGGGTCAAAAGGACTGACAGAATAAAAAAGATTGAGTTCTATGTGTAATTGTTGATTCAAGGTAATAATGTCTAAACATTTCTCATAATCATAATTTACAGTTTTTGGTTTGAGACAAAATAGGGTTGTCTTTTATTTTATGAATGGAATATAGTACAAGGGATCTTAATTTGGCACGGATCATTAACTTTTCACATTATCGATGATATTTTACAAGCCTTTAGTGTAGAGGGTTAGTTATTGTTGAATGAGAAGTATTTGATTGAATTTAATTAAAAAACAAAAGCAAAACATTTATATATGGTTTAAGATTTCGGGTAAAGTTTCTATTAGGGATGATTCCTATATACATTTCAAATGATATTTTTTTGATAAAACATGACTGTGGTTCAGGCAGTTTTGCACATTCATTTCATAATCTGATCCTTTACATGATTTTTTATTTGGTGTCTGATTTTGTCTGATCCTATGAATATGCAAGATCGAAATGTGTTACATAATGTGCTACTTAATTTAACCATTTATTTAACTATTATTAAGAGGAGAACTTAAATAATGGATGTTATTGATATATTGATGCCCTATTGGCTTAGTATGGGAAAAATTCCTGAGATATGAGGCAATGGTCTTCAGCTTCAAGGAGCAGCCTTTTAAAAAAGGAACATTATATTTACTAATCAGATGATGCACAGTCTTAAAGAATCGTTCTTGCTCCCCTCATCACCTGTGGATGCTGCTGTTCCCTGCCTGAGGTCCTTGGCTGTTCAGTGCATCACTTCCAACATAGAGAAGGGCAGTGGTAGTGATGGAACTCCACCTCTTTCGGTTCCAGATGGTTTCCCAGAACCGAAAGACGATCATGGAACTCCGGCTTTCTAGAGTATAAAGGCAGTACTAGTATCTAGTACCTAGTATAAAAAGAAATTATATTTTTCCTTTACTTTAGTATCCATTATATAATCCATTAATTGTGCTTTTGTTGTTTTTTGTGTTGCAGAATGAAGTCCAATCCTTTCTGGGTGTGCTGGGATGTGAGACTGTGGGCGCCTTCCACGATTGATGGACCAATTTACAGCTAAAATGCCACACTGAAGCCTCACAGGCACTGTTGGGGTTTCTCATTGGGCTGCGCCGGCTCTGCATCTGGACACACGCAGAAACTGATTTGAAGTTGATAGGTCTTGCTATAACAAAGACTGGTCTGAGTTGATTTTATTAATCTCAATACAAGTAAATCTTACTGCATTTTTATGCTTATTTACTCATTTTAGTTTATTAATATCATTATATTTTATTGCACTGCCTATAATGCTGATTTACTCCATTGGTTTGCAATTTTATCATTGTGCTCATTTTATATTCTGTTACCATTAAATACTCATTAACTCTAAAATTATCTTAACATTTCACTTAATTTCTTAACATTGCATCCTTCCTATGGTTTATTAATTTTTAAATATTATCTTGAAATTTTCTTCATTTGACATTTTAATAACTTTTTAAATATTACCTTAATATTTTATTCATTCTACATTTTTTTAACTTTTAAAAATATTATCCTAACCCTTTATTAAAATATTGTCCTAACATTTGATCCATTCTACATTTTATTAACTTTTAAAAATCCTTTAACATTTTACTCTTTTATAGTTAATTAACTTTAAAATATTATCTTAATATTGTATTCTTTTTAACATTTAACACATTTTTGACACTTTAACATCTTTTAACATTTTATTTCTTTACATACTTGTCATTAGATTGTAAGGGGGACATTGTGATTTTGATCCACCGCCTCGGAGCCATGGGGTTCCCTATCTATATTTACCTGAACCAAATGCAAGTGAAATGAAATGAAAGACAACATGAATGATGAAATGAAAGAGAACATCAATGATCAAATACATGTGAACATCTGTAATAGCCTCGGGGGATGTTTCCGGATAGGGGCAGGGTCTACTCAAGGGTTTGACTCCCCCTTTATCTTTTGGGCTCTTCAGAGCCCAACAGGGGGAATGTTGAGATGCTTTACCAAGGTCAAGAAAGAGTTACATGTTGTTAGACTAAGGGCCCATTGCAAAGAGTTCCATTTTTGATTCTGATAGCCGCTCAGCCCCATTTCTCAGAAAACAGAAACTTATCAGGCCACAGAGACATGGTGTGATTTCAGGGAGTGTCTTCAGTCCATATAATCAGCTAGCCGCATCCTTCTCCACAGACGCTGCACAGACACTTTTTTAGAAACTCTTCTCGAATGTAATGGTAAAAGTGTCTCCTTTCAGCGCTGAAAGTGAATAAAATAAGTAAAGTCTGAATAATATTGTTGGCTGATTTTATGCTCCTTGTGTCAGGACAAATTTTGATTCATCGATTAGGATTTTCCGTTCTCAACAGTAGACAATGAAATATTAAGAAATGTTTAATGAGAAAACGATTGACTTGTAACTTGTGTATTGTTACAAACATTGGATTGTGACTAAAGTACTGTAAAACCTGTGATAGGTAAGGATAACTTCCCACTTTCCAATTTTGGTGGGACAATGGGTGTTTTTGACCCATCCTTCTTTGTTACAGGCTGAGTAGACAATGAAATATTACAATACTGTCAAAGGAAACCTTTCCACTTGTAAATGTTGAAATTTTACAAAAAATAATCACTTAATTTTAATCAGGGTTATGATTAAAGTACTGTAAAACTTGTGCCAGATGTTGACAACTTTTCACCTACCAATTTTGGTGGGACATTTGGTTTGTTAGCCCCATCCTTCTCTTTTGGAGTCTGAGCAGACAATCAAAGATTAAAAGATTGTTCATGGGAAAACGTTCCACTTGTAAATTTTCTAATTTTTCAAAAATGGCTCATGATTAAAGTACTATAGAACCAGTAACAGATGATGATAACTTCTCACCTACCAATTTTGTTGGGACAATTGCTTTCTTAGACCCGTCTTTTTTTGAAAACTGAGTAGACAATAAAATGCTCAATGGAAAACTTTCCACTTGTACATTATGTAATTTTACTAACATTGTGTCATGACTAAAGTCCTGTAAAACCTGTGACAGGTGTTGATAACTTCCCACTTACCAATTTTGGTGGCACAACTGGTTTTTTAGACCAATCTTCCTTTTTTCCAGGCTGAGTAGACAATATTAAAAAACCGTCAAAGGAAAACTTTTCACTGGTAAATTTTGTGTAGTTTCAAAATTTGGGTCATGATTAAAGTACTGTAAAAACTTTGGCAGATGTTGATAACTTTTCACTTACCAATTTTGTTTGCACAATTGGTTTTTTAGACTGGTCGTTCTTTTTTGCAGACTGAGTAGACAAAGGAATATTAAAAATCCATCAAAGGAAA